GGTTCATAAGTGCTTATCAGATGATTTCTTCTGCATTTTACATGCTGAAATATTAGGTAAAAGGGGGAAAAAAAAATAAAACACCAGGCAGCTGACCCTGTTGGAAATTTTTTATTTACCACTGCAAGGTTTTTGCTCCAAAGTGTCACACCAGACATATGACTACAATGTCTCATGCGTCTTTTTGTGCTTTAGTTCATGACTGCAAAACACACACTTAGCATTTGACAACAGGAAACACAGAGGGCAGAAACAAATCACAAGGACTAGTTGGTTTAGGCTACAGCCACCTTTCACCCAGGACTCTTTTACATCCAAGAGAAATGGACCCTGAATAACTGGTCTCCTAGCTGACTCTCTGTGCCCAGCTGTGTTTGGGGTGACTTGTCATTCAACCCACACAAAAAGTTATATCTCAAATCAAAATGGACAGACATATGCAAGGTCTTAATCAATAAGTGCTCAACAAATAGATATTGATTTGATGCAAGAGGTGGAGTCACAGATTAATGAGGGCGGACTCCTATTTTCTACTTCAGAAATCTCTGAAGAAAGAACCTGATCACCTTTTTGGGCAACAGTGCATTCTGAAATGGTCTCTCATCTTATTTTCACCTCTGTCTCACACCCTTTTTAGAAATGCTCACTGGCATCGCACAAGGTGTTCCTTTAAAAAATGATGAGATGCTTTCACACAGGCTCAATTACTATAATTTGATAGTAAATTGTCAATGTTTCTGGTACAAGGTAAGCTGATGTGAAGACTACTGAAATATTTTGATTTGGCAGTTTGACATCTCTGGGTAATTTAAAATGCACTAAGATGGAGTTTCAGTGGAAAAGCAGAGCAATTATATTCTCTTCATCTGTTGATTACATTTACATGGAGAGCAATGAATTGTCATTAGGCAAATAGTAATACTCAATGTCATGAATTTCTAGCCTGACTGCTAAGACATCTGATGCCTTTACCATTGAGAACTCAGCTAGGACTCTAATTTGTATGCCATTTGCAGTGTCTTTTTCTGCCTACTCCGCCAGGCATTCTTAATTCATTAATTAACAAATACATGTGGAGCACCCATGAGACAGCTTTATCCCAGGCACTTAGAATACAGTGAACATAACAGACAACTCTCCTTCAAAATGTATCTCATTTCTGTAATCCCTGCTAAGTGAGTTCAAGGCTGACATCTAAGATGTTCTGTAGTGGAACCTGGCTCCCATCAGGGGCAACCTTTAATTTGGATTCTGGAAGACTAAAACTTGGAGATAAAAAAGAAGAAGAAGGAGAAGGAGAAGGAGAAGGAGGAGAAGAAAAAGAAGAAGAATGAAAGGATGCTTCATGACCGAATGATGATGGGTGGAGTTGATAACTCTGGGATCAGGGGCCCCGCCCAGCCCACCTGAAATTCCTTTGATGGTACTATAACGCAGCTGCATAGATTTATAAGGAGCCATGTTTCCTGATTTTTAGTCTAGAATCCAACTTTTCTAGATTGGAGTAGTAGATGTTGCCAAGAAGAGAATGCTCATCAGCTTTCAGCTTGTAGGAAATGTTTTGTTTTCTCTTAGCCATACCAACCAAAGAGAAGAAACCAGTATGGTGAAGAGATCTCTAAAACATGTTATAGAAAACCACTAACAAGTGCTTTCCTAAACAACACTTGGCAGGTGCTGGTCAACCTCATGATGAAGGTTTCCAATTATCCAAAAGACTTCCCATGAAAGAGGGATTCGATATTTTTTCTGTTTTTTTTTTTTTCAGAGGATGGGTAGAAGTTATTTCTAATGCTTTTCTATGTCTGTACAGAAAGAAAAAATAATGACCATAGGTTATAAGGTTCCTGCTCAGATTCTCAGGGAGAGGCCAAGTATAACTTGACTTGTTGAAGGAATGAAGCCCTTACCCATCTTGTCTAGGAATTCTGTCTTAGGGCAGTGGATTAGGGTGACATCTGAAAGCCCAGAGTTTTAATGTTAATAGAGAGGGGTCCAAAGGCAGAATCCACGGTTCTGGAAATACCACGATGCTTCCGGCACTTTCTGGGCATTTTCAGCTGCCAAATTAAAGTGAAAAATAGGCTGGGCATGGTGGCTCACACTTGTAATCCCAGTACTTTGGGAGGCCGAAGCAGGTAGATCACCTGAGGTCTGGAGTTGAAGACCAGCCTGGCCAACATGGTGAAACCCCGTCTCTACTAAAAGTACAAAAATTAGCCGGTCATGTTGGTGGGTGCCTGTAATCCCAGCTACCCGGGAGGCTGAGACAGGAGAATCACTTGAACTTGGAAGGCAGAGGTTGCAGTGAGCCGAGATCGTGCCACTGCACTCCAGCCTGGGCAACAAAGAGCAAAACTCCATCTAAAAAAAAAAAAAAAATAGTAACTTAGCTTAAAGATGATCTGCTGGTGGCCTCAAAGTTTGTTTTTAGCCAGGGAGTGCCTACAGGTTTTGAACACTATTTCATCAATTATATCATTCATTGGGGTAGGCTTCCTAGTCATTAGTCCTATCTTATACAGCTGGCCAAACAGGTTCTGAAGGGCAATGTCAACAACAGAACCCAGGAATCCTGGTTCAGGGGTAAGTACTGTATCCACTCAGCAAGGCTCATAATTTAGATTTAATTAACAACGTGGACATCTGTTTAGAATAACAGGTAGGAATTCAAAACCCAGCTGCTGGTTATTTACCCACTCAAGTGAAAACAGAGGGAGGCATAGTTGCAAAAGACCTGATTTCCTTTTTAAAATTGTCTTTCTTCTCTGCCTACATGTAGCCAGATGTCATAGACTAAGTCAATAACTAAATTCCTCCTGAAGTGACTGCACACTGAGAAGGGACCGGTCTATCTCAGAGAGTCACTTTGGTGATGCTGGTGGGTGTGACACCTAGCAATCAGAACCCAGCCAATGACTCACAGGAGATCCCACCTGTACTTTGTTAGGGATGGTCTCCCCAAGGATAATAGAAACTGATTTTAAGATAAAAACAATAAAATTCATCAATAAAAAGCACAAAATTCAGTCCAAGAGCAGGGGCCTTATGAAATGCACAAATTAAAGTATTAAGAATTAAAATAATTAAATAAAAAAGCCGAGGCCCCAGATTTCATACTGATGGTTGAGGTGTCCAGCATTGGAACTGGCTGCACCATGGTTTTGGGACTCCATCAAGGACTGTGGCCGAAAACCTGTGTGGAATGCTGTAAAAGGAATTTCTCCAAGTACAGTGCTCCACCCTCTACATCAGCTTGTTAAAAACGAAGGCTCCTGGGCTTCGACCAGGAATACCCACTAGGAATGTCTCCAGGTGAGCCCAGGAATCTGCTGGTGACTCTTCACATGCTAAAGTTTGAGAACTGCCGGGTGACTGCCCTGCGTGGTGAGCTTGATTGAACGCTGGCTAAGGTTTGTTTCCACCTGGGCAACCTCTAACTCTAGGAGTTGATCCAGGATACTTTCACTTCCTTCATTTTTGAAATGCTTGTTTTTCGAAAAGCCAAATTCTTCTTTGCATCCATGATTCCCACATTTAGCTTTCTCTGCATCTGGCCTAACCCCACCTATAAAACAGGCATAGGAACTGTATTTGATAAGCATCTCTTTCAATAACACAGATGAGCAAAATGCATTCCTCAGTATGACCCTCATATTCCATTTCCACACACTGTCCTGCTCTGTCTTGCTTATTTCTTAGAAACAGGAGTATGATGAGAGAGCCATCCTAGCCTTGCAAACATATCTGTCACTGTCTTCTGGGTGTCAGAATGAGGAAGGGGCACAGAGAGCAGGTTGCAGAGGACGGGTCAGGGCTGTCCAAGAAGGGAGGCGGCCGGGCAGCTGTTTACAGGTGCAGCTGGTGCCACATGGCAATCTGCCGGCGAGGGTTTTTGAGCATCTCCTCCCAGTGGCTGCGCTCAGAGCCCGAAGTGTGCAGGCCCAGGCTGCAGTGGCCAAGCGCACAGCTTTGCCCTGACTCGTCCTGGCCTAGCACTTCCAGCTCCACACTGGAGGCCTGCAGCAGGTCGTCGGGCAGCTCAAACATGATCATCTCGTTCCACACGGGGTTGATCTTGTGCTTGGCTCGTTTAGTCTGCTTCTTCTTCAGCTTCCGAGCCTGGTGCTTCAAGGTCACCTTGACAGAGACATCTGGGGAGGGGCAGAGGGGAAAAAGAGACAGAGAGAAGGGCCAAGAGTGAGTTTCTGGGATCTGGCAGGGCCCAGGACAAAGCTCCCTCCTGGTGCTAGAAAGATGATATCTCTAACTCAAGAGTTTGGACATCTGTGCCCCATATACCCAACATCCTAAAGGGCTCAGTTTTTCCTTCTGGATACCCCAGCACAGGTCCCAAGTCTATGTGACCATAGAAGGCTCTGCTATAACAGCAGGAAAGCATCCCATCTGGACAATCTGTAATTCTAGGAGTCGATCCAGGATACTTTCACTTCCTTGCATTGGAGATTATTCTCTGCTCCCCCACTGGGCCATGCATTCATTCAACAAATATTAAGTGCCCACGCTATGGCAGGCACTGGTCTAGACGTGGGGATACAGCAGAAGTTCTTGCCCCTATAGAACTTGAACTAAAGTGTAGGAAACAGCCAATACCACGATATATAAGGCTGACCACTGGGTGGCCTGTGATTGGGGCATGTTAGAGTACCAAGAGGGAACCACCCTTTGCTACATGACTTCATATCCCCACATCAAACCAGGTCCATGACAATAGCTCAGGGGTCCTGCAGCTGGATTTTAAACTCAGACCAGAAAAATGAAGCCAGCCCCCAAGTCTTCATCCCCTTGATTCTTGGTCTAAGCAATTTTGTCTGTTATTAAAATGCCTACATGTAGCCAGATGTCATAGACTAAGTCAATAACTAAATTCCTCCTGAAGTGACTGCACACTGAGAAGGGACCGGTCTATCTCAGAGAGTCACTTTGGTGATGCTGGTGGGTGTGACACCTAGCAATCAGAACCCAGCCAATGACTCACAGGAGATCCCACCTGTACTTTGTTAGGGATGGTCTCCCCAAGGATAATAGAAACTGATTTTAAGATAAAAACAATAAAATTCATCAATAAAAAGCACAAAATTCAGTCCAAGAGCAGGGGCCTTATGAAATGCACAAATTAAAGTATTAAGAATTAAAATAATTAAATAAAAAAGCCGAGGCCCCAGATTTCATACTGATGGTTGAGGTGTCCAGCATTGGAACTGGCTGCACCATGGTTTTGGGACTCCATCAAGGACTGTGGCCGAAAACCTGTGTGGAATGCTGTAGAAGGAATTTCTCCAAGTACAGTGCTCCACCCTCTACATCAGCTTGTTAAAAACGAAGGCTCCTGGGCTTCGACCAGGAATACCCACTAGGAATGTCTCCAGGTGAGCCCAGGAATCTGCTGGTGACTCTTCACATGCTAAAGTTTGAGAACTGCCGGGTGACTGCCCTGCGTGGTGAGCTTGATTGAACGCTGGCTAAGGTTTGTTTCCACCTGGGCAACCTCTAACTCTAGGAGTTGATCCAGGATACTTTCACTTCCTTCATTTTTGAAATGCTTGTTTTTCGAAAAGCCAAATTCTTCTTTGCATCCATGATTCCCACATTTAGCTTTCTCTGCATCTGGCCTAACCCCACCTATAAAACAGGCATAGGAACTGTATTTGATAAGCATCTCTTTCAATAACACAGATGAGCAAAATGCATTCCTCAGTATGACCCTCATATTCCATTTCCACACACTGTCCTGCTCTGTCTTGCTTATTTCTTAGAAACAGGAGTATGATGAGAGAGCCATCCTAGCCTTGCAAACATATCTGTCACTGTCTTCTGGGTGTCAGAATGAGGAAGGGGCACAGAGAGCAGGTTGCAGAGGACGGGTCAGGGCTGTCCAAGAAGGGAGGCGGCCGGGCAGCTGTTTACAGGTGCAGCTGGTGCCACATGGCAATCTGCCGGCGAGGGTTTTTGAGCATCTCCTCCCAGTGGCTGCGCTCAGAGCCCGAAGTGTGCAGGCCCAGGCTGCAGTGGCCAAGCGCACAGCTTTGCCCTGACTCGTCCTGGCCTAGCACTTCCAGCTCCACACTGGAGGCCTGCAGCAGGTCGTCGGGCAGCTCAAACATGATCATCTCGTTCCACACGGGGTTGATCTTGTGCTTGGCTCGTTTAGTCTGCTTCTTCTTCAGCTTCCGAGCCTGGTGCTTCAAGGTCACCTTGACAGAGACATCTGGGGAGGGGCAGAGGGGAAAAAGAGACAGAGAGAAGGGCCAAGAGTGAGTTTCTGGGATCTGGCAGGGCCCAGGACAAAGCTCCCTCCTGGTGCTAGAAAGATGATATCTCTAACTCAAGAGTTTGGACATCTGTGCCCCATATACCCAACATCCTAAAGGGCTCAGTTTTTCCTTCTGGATACCCCAGCACAGGTCCCAAGTCTATGTGACCATAGAAGGCTCTGCTATAACAGCAGGAAAGCATCCCATCTGGACAATCTGTAATTCTAGGAGTCGATCCAGGATACTTTCACTTCCTTGCATTGGAGATTATTCTCTGCTCCCCCACTGGGCCATGCATTCATTCAACAAATATTAAGTGCCCACGCTATGGCAGGCACTGGTCTAGACGTGGGGATACAGCAGAAGTTCTTGCCCCTATAGAACTTGAACTAAAGTGTAGGAAACAGCCAATACCACGATATATAAGGCTGACCACTGGGTGGCCTGTGATTGGGGCATGTTAGAGTACCAAGAGGGAACCACCCTTTGCTACATGACTTCATATCCCCACATCAAACCAGGTCCATGACAATAGCTCAGGGGTCCTGCAGCTGGATTTTAAACTCAGACCAGAAAAATGAAGCCAGCCCCCAAGTCTTCATCCCCTTGATTCTTGGTCTAAGCAATTTTGTCTGTTATTAAAATAGGAGATCCTCTGCTGGTTGGTTGAATTCTACTGATCCGTACTTTTTAAAGCTTTATTTGAAGACCCCCAACTTCCTATGGAAGAGGGATGAAGGCAGACTGCCTGTTACTGCATGCTCCTCCAAACTCAGGACACTGCACCAAGAGAGCTGGCCCCGAGGAAATCCACAAACAGGTCACCAGGTGATCTTTCATGTCACATCACAAGGCTGGACTGGATTACTTAGGGTTTCCAAAGCTAATGTGAGAATAATTGTTACTTGTATTTAATGCTGTAATTATCACCCCTGGGAGGTTAGTTTGTTATTTTTGCAGAGATAGTTGAGAGAGGAAGTGTTGTACTGTAATTGTCCTGACAGGAGCTATAAAAGAAAGCAAGAAGCAAAGAATTGTCTAAAGGGAATGAGAATAAAAGCATTGAACTTTGACCTTTGACTCAGGAAACTGCCAGCAAGACCAACTCTTCTGATTTCATTAGCCCCAAGTCTTTTGCTTGAAATTCAGAATGCAGTGGCAATTCTTTATTTGCACCCTGCTATAAATAGAGACTTATTTATATCTTGCTAGGAGCATGTGGCTGCCAGTCCAGGTATTATCTGGCTAGCCGAGGATGCTTTCCTGCTCATATTGGAGAGCTTGCTTTGGTCTCCAAGATGCTGAACCTGGGCTGGGGTATCCATAAGGAAAAACTGAGGCTTCCGGGGTGTTGAAGAAAAGCTTATTTGGGTATATGGGGCACAGATGCCTGAAACCTCAGGCCTCAGCCCACGTACCCACACACCTTCTGCCATCACCCACACTCAGCTGGTATGAGGGTGGCAGTTGGCAAAAGGCTGAGAAGAGAGAAGAGACTGGGGTGGGTGGGGGGAGTGCAGTGGTGGTGAGTTCAGACAGGAGGGGAAGAACCTGGGCTTCCTGACAGCTGCCTGAAAGGTGGGTCCAGCCAGATGTGGTTGACAAAGGCTGGGCCAAGTTTTCCCAACAGCCCAGGCCCTTCACTCTACGGCTATAGTCTGACCCTTGGCTTCTTGTGCTCTGTGGTTAGGGCTGATGGTTCTCATAGTGGATCTCCAAGGAAGGGAGCCCCAGGTGGCTCACACTTGAGTCCTAATGGATGGGATTGGCCCAAGAGTAAACGGATGTGAACTCGAAGAAGTGAGTGTGTCCTTGAAAATCAGTTTGTGAACTTAGGGTGAAGAACACAGCTGAGTATGGCTCTGTAGATGTGCTCATATTCCACCTCCCTGCTTACCTGTGACCATTTCCTCCCAGGCACCACCTCCCTCAGCACACACTCCCGGTAACTGGAGGGGCCTTGGCCATCCTCTCACGTCTCACTCACCCTTCCCCAGGAGCTCCTTGGACTGGTTAGAGTGGAGGTTCTTGGCTTTAATCAGCACCACCAGGAGGCGGTTGGCAGCTGGGAGGTAGCTGATGGATAGAAGGACCTCTCCAGCTCCTGCAGATGGCTCCTGAAACAGAACAGGAGACACAGGAGGGGAGTCTCACCTGGGGACGGCTTCTGACCCAGCAACAAATGCTGAAGCTGGGGTCATGCTGGATTTGCATCCAACAGGCATCCTCGAAACCATTTACCCATCAATTCTGGGGTCTCCACCCTTGCAGAAGAGAGCAAGGCACAGAGGAATTCTATGTGGCATGCGCTTCAATAGCAATTTCTTTGTTTGCCTCCAAATGTGATTTTTCACATACCATATAGTCAAATCCAACATACAAAACAGAGCAAAGAAATGCTACTCAGAATGCAGCAGGGGGAAGGAGGCCAGAATTCCCCATTACCCTTCACCTTCCACCACCCCCAAGCTCCTGGGACACCTCTGTCCTCTAGGGCCTCAGAGAACAGTTTCAGAATCCCTGCATGGGCCCATCAGGTTCCTGGGGCAGCGGGAGAGTTTTAATTCATTACTTTGTTTGAAAAGATAGTTCCTTCCAGCTCCAGGAGGTTGCTTCATCGACAGAGGGACCAGTAATGTCAATGAAGTGCTGGGGCATATGACGGTAGATCATGCCCAGAGGCAACTGGCAATAACCACACCTCGAAGGAGGCGATGCCCTGTGAGGCATCCAAACAAACACATCTATCCCTGCATGCAGCTTTAGAGTAATTCTCCTGAAATTCCTACAGGAGTTTGTTTGGAATTTCAACAAATCCATCAAAGGACAAGAACCACCAAGACACCTCCCAGGAGGTGGGTGTTTGGTTGCAATCCAAGCTCTGGGGAGACCTGGCAGCAAAGAGAAGGGAGTGTGTGGGCAGGGATCAGCTGAAGGTCAGAAGTCTCCTCTGTTGAGCAGGAAGAAGATGCCCTTCCCTCGAAATTCCAAGGAAGAGGCAGATGTGTGGCCTGCTGTGCCAAGATGGAGAGTGGGGAGTGGGAGTGGGGGAAGGGCCCATGGAAGCTTGTCTCTCCAGATGTCACAGCTTTCAGTCCTGTGCCCCTTCCCTCCAGGTTTGTCCCTCTTTCCCAGCTGTGCAATGAGGGTAATTCAGTGAGGTCTGGTACCAGGCTGGGGCCCTGGCTAACAGCCACCATGGCTTCCTAAGCTTCCTCCCCTCCTGTCACACCCAGGATGTCTGTTCATCCATCCTGGACCAGGCACTCAGAAGGGCTGAAATCAATTTTTCTTTGCTCACTGTGACCTCTCTGGATTCAATCATTCAGCAAGCATATGTAATGCACCTACTGTATTCCAGACGCCATAATTAAAGCCATGAACTCAACACAATCAGCCTCAAGGAAGCTTGCAGTCACATGGGGAAGACAGACAAGAAGTGATTAAATATGTAACATTGGGCAGCATTAAATGCTATGAAGAAATATAGATATCAGAGGATGAAGTGAGAAAATGCATATAGCAAGTTCTTAGTAAAGGTCATAAATTACAATTCTAATGACAACAGTCAAAACAACAATTATTACTAATCCAGAACAAGAGTAATGCTGCGAGCATAGACTCTAGACCAGATTAACTGGGTCCAAGTTCCAATCCTACCATTGTGATCTTGGGTAAGTTACTTAACTTTTCTAAGCCTCCATTTCTGCATGACCCCAATGATTCCACAAGTTTTGAGGGACTGGTCATATGAAGAAATGATTTGGGAGCCTCAAAGGATCTTGGTGATGAAATGAATGATAGCAGCTAACACTTACTAAACGTTGTGTGTGAGATGCAATTACATGGTCCATCCCACTAGAAAGTAAGCGCCACTGTGGCCTCTGTTCACACTATGCAACCCCAGCACCTGGGACACAGTGGGCACACAATAAACATTTGTGAAAAAAGGGTAGCACATCCCATTTATAATCTTGACGACAACCCCAAGAGGGCTACTGATTTTGTTCCCATTTTAACATAAGAACCTGAGATGCAGAAAGGAAACGTCATTGCCAGAGGTCACATAGGCAGGAAGTGGCAAAACCAAGCCTTGGAAAGGAGGTCCAGTCTGACAGCAAAACCTAACTCCTGAATCCATGGCTCTCCAGCTTTCTCAGTTGACAGCCCTTCCCAACCCTCTCATTTCACAGTGAAGGAACTGAGGCCCAGGGACTTGTACCAGGCACCCAGAGAGATGTCCACAGAGTTGGGATGGGCACCAGCCTCCTGGCTCATGGTCGATTATTAGAGGGCCACAGGTAGCCCGGGCTATAGCCACAGGGTGACCAGACTTGAGTCCTCTGCTCCCTGCAGACCAGGTGAGAGGAGTCAGCACCTGTTGGCCTCTGCAGGGATCTTCACTTTTGCATAGGGTGAGGTTTGACTAGCCTAACCAGCTGTACCATAGCCAGACAATTTCAACAGCAACTGCTCCCTGGGCACTGCTGCTGAAAATACTTGCGGACTAAAGTAATCCTTTCTTTCTTCTTCCTTTCCCTGGTTTTCCCTGGTTTTCTTTCTCTCAGGTCTCAGTGAACCATGCAAGACTGCCCTTGGAGGTTAATATCCAGAATCTACAAAGAACGTAAACAAATTTACAAGAAAAAAAACCAAAACAATCCCATCAAAAAGTGGGCAAAGGATATGAACAGACACTTCTCAAAAGAAGACATTTATGTAGCCAACAGACATATGAAAAAATGCTCATCATCACTGGTTATCAGAGAAATACAAATCAAAACCACAAAGAGATACCATCTCACGCCAGTTAGAATGGCGATCATTAAAGTCAGGAAACAACAGAGGCTGGAGAGGATGTGGAGAAGTAGGAATGCTTTTACACGGTTGGTGGGAGTGTAAACTAGTTCAACCATTGTGGAAGACAGTGTGGCGATTCCTCAAGGATCTAGAACTAGAAATACCATTTGACCCAGTGATCCTATTACTGGGTATATACCCAAAGGATTATAAATCATGCTACTATAAAGACACATGCACAGGTATGTTTATTGCAGCACTATTCACAATAGCAGACTTGGAACCAACCCGAATGTCCATCAATGATAGACTGCATAAAGAAAATGTGGCACATATACACCATGGAATACTATGCAGCCATAAAAAAGGATGAGTTCATGTCCTTTGCAGGCACATGGATGAAGCTGTAAACCATCATTCTCAGCAAAGTATCACAAGGACAGAAAACCAAACACCGCATGTTCTCACTCTTAGATGGGAATTGAACAATGAGATCACTTGGACACACGGCAAGGAACATCACATGCCAGGGCATGTCAGGTGGTGGGGGACTGGGGGAGGGATAGCGTTAGGAGAAATACATAATATAGATGACTAGTTGATGAGTGCAGCAAACCAACATGGCATATGTATACTTATGTATCAAACCTACACGTTCTGCACATGTATCCTAGAACTTAAAGTATAATAATAATTTTAAAAGACTGCCCTTGGAGTGGGTTGCCCTGTGAGTCCCTCTTGATGCACATGGCACTTTTGGCTGAGTATATTCCAGCTACAACTGGGCACCGTGGGCATGTCTGTTAACCCATTCTGGCCTAGAGAAGAAAAACATCTGGGCTGCAATGACTGAGGGCTCCACTCACCTTGTTCAAATCAGCCCATCAGCCCACACCCTCTAGCTGGGGCGAGGGGATCCCTGGCCTGGACTTCCAGCTTTCTCCTGCCCTATACACCCAGAAGTTCACCTCCTACTTCTAACTCCATGCCACCCTCTGAGGTTGTTCACATTTGTAGTAAACAGGTCAGTGATCAAAGCAGTTGTGAGTATGTATTTGCAGAACAGAGACAGCTACAGAAAGTATGATAATTATTAGGATGAGCTATGAGGTCAGGACTTCATCTTAATTACTGTTGCTGTGTCCCTAGTTCTTGGCACAGTGCCTGGCACATGGTAGAAACTGGGCAACGTATTTGCAGAATGAATGAATGAGTGAATGATAGCTGCTCTTCTAGGGGGCAGTGAGAGAAGCTGCTAGATGACTGAGACTTCTTCCTAGATTGGCTGGATTTCTGCCCTTTGGGGGCTGTACCAAGTCTCAGAGCCCAGCAGGGGAGTCTCTGCATCTCGAGAGAAAGCTAGTTTACTAGTTTAATAATCCTAAGTATTGATTCCTTCTCCCAGGATCCCCATCTGTGATTCCACAGAAGTCCCAAATCACACACTAACTAGAGAGTGGGCTTTGGAACAGCTGAGTTCCATCTGAGAGTGGCTGTGATTTTTCTGTCAATTTTCTGAGCCTGGGAAAGAGGAAAAAATGGAGCAAGGAGGAAATCATAGCAAAAAGAGGAGCAGGCAGTGGGTGAAATGTACTCTTCCCTCCTGCAGTCTGGGTGTCTATTCGGAAAGGTGCCTGCTGGCCACACCTCATACTGGTCAGGTGGCTTTCATGGCAAGTAATGAGATAGCACAGGATTTCGAGTCAGACCAACTCAGCCTCAAAGTCTGCTGTTTCCTGGCTGTGGGACCCTGTGTGGATTCCTGAACTACTATGACCATCAGTTTCCTCACCTGTAAGGTGGATAGTCATGGTGTCTCTCTCACCTGGTTGATTTGGGGAGTGGCAGCACTCAGGTAGAGTCCTAAGCATAGCAACTGATACACGGTGAGCATTAAAAAATAGTGCCCTTGGCCTGGCGTGGCGGCTCACACCTGTAATCCTAGGACTTTGAGAGGCCGAGGTGGGTAGATCACAAGGTCAGGAGATCAAGACCATCCTGGTCAACATGGTGAAACCCTGTCTCTACTAAAAATACAAAAATTAGCTGGGTGTAGTGGCGTGTGCCTGTAATCCCAACTACTCGGGAGGCTGAGGCACGAGAATCACTTGAACCCAGGCGGCAGAGGTTGCCGTGAGCTGAGAT